CGCGCCGCCGGCGCCGCCCCCGACCAGCTTCCCTCGGAGGCTCCGCCCGGATTGGCCGGGCCGGCGAGCACGTGGCCGCCCGCCCGCCCCGCAAGCGGCCCGCGGTCGCCGTGTCGGGGCCTCCCGCGCCGCGTCCGGAAGGCTCGTCGAGGGGCCGTCGCGCCTTTTCACCTGTCGCCGGGGAGAGCCGCGCAGCCCTCGCGGAGTCCTCGAACGGCAGGAGAGCAGAGCAGAGGAAGGGGAAATAAAAGGGCTCCTCGCTGGTCGCAGCGGGGGAAGGAGGCGCAGAACCTCCCAGTTGCACCGCCGTGACTGAGGGGGAAGGTACTAATCGCGCGGAAGCCGTCTCGGGGAACGGAGCCGCTTGGTTCAAGCTAGCTGGCCGCTGCCCGGCAGTCTGGGGCTGCACGTGCCTGTTTCCCGCATCTCCACCGCCCGCCCGCGTCGCGCTCTGCTCTGCTCTGCTCTGCTCTCGATGCCTCTGCCGCGTCCGGAGGCGGATCTCCCCCGCAAGCCCCGGTCCCACCGTAAACCCCGCGGCGCGAACTGGCGCCGTCAGAGGCGCCGTCCCAAGCGCCGCAGCTGGGAGGCAGCCGCCGGGCACGGGCTCGCAGAGAACGGTGGGAAGCAGGCAGAAAAAGCAACCGGAAGTAGGGGCGTGGAAGGGGAGGGAACGGGGCCCTTTGGCCCCAGCACCGCTCACTGTGCTGTACCTCTCCGTAGGTTTCCATCCAGGCAGAACTTTGCTGCTTCTCCCCCGAATCCACACAGTGCCTTTTGCTCCTTACGCTTCTCGCCCCTCTCTCCTTTGGAGGCCCATCTCCTCAGCTCCATCCCGCGGTGGGCTTCTTGGCCTTCCCCTTCCTCTCAACCCTTCCCTTCTTCCTTCGAATACTGTATGGAGTTCGTGATTTGATCCTCATTCATTCTGCCTGACTCAACCACGTCAGCATATTCCTTCTTTCACGCCGGTCGCCCCTTCTGTATTGATTCACATCCATTCATCAGCCACTTGTTCCGGATGCCCTGTCTTGTCTGACCACATGCGCTTCTTAGTGGCTCATTCCCACCGGTTCATGTTTCTCCTAACATGCTCATCTCTCATTTCCATTTAAGAAAGTGAGCAGATGCATGCTCCTGTAAGCATCATCTTTTGCGTTTGACTCTGTCATCGCAATTGACTACACTATCTTCCTACCATCACTTCCCAATCTTTAGTAAATACTCTATAAAGTTATACAGATTAATTCACTTGCTCTTGTTTTTCACCATTTAGATATAACCTGCAATAATTCATTCCATTTTCCCTATCAGGCATAGGTAACTTGTTCTTTGATACATTACTTTTTGGATTAATTATATTCCTTGTTGCATCACACTCACATTTGCTGCAAATTGTTCAGGCTCTCAGCCAACACATCTGCATGAAAAACTAGACGCACATTCCTGTCCACAAATATGCAATAAATAAATTTCTCACGTGTGTGACCTGATGAATCTGCAGGCCCTCCAACTGCCATAGAGCCACACTGCACTTCCCAGATTAACAAACTAACACCCCAGTAGTCCTTGCATTCACTCTTGCTGCCTTTCCCTTTGTTAGTGGAAGAGAAGTATTCTTCCAAACGTAAAGCAGAGAGGCACTTCCACACATGCATCAGTAAAACAAGTTGTACAGACGCTCCATAAGGAAAATGTTTTCAACATTCTCACTGAATTTATCACCAATTTCATCAGTTTTTCCTTGGATACCAACGTTTATAGTATTTGTTTCGATTCTATCCTTCAACATATCACTATTTTTCCCATATAAATCTTTAAAATATTCCTTTTAGCATTCCTTCATTTCAATTTAATCCCAAATCATTTCATCACTTTATTTTTAATTCCATTCACTTCTTTAGCCCTCTTCACCCACTTCCCAAACAATTTTTTTTATTTCCATCAAGATCTCTCTGCAGTTGCTCTACCTCTTTTAACCTTAATGGTTCCTTGCTCTCTTTGCAATTAACCTTTCTCTATATGCACATACAGTGGTGCTTACAAGTTTGTGAACCCTTTTGAATTTTCAATATTTCTGCATAAATATAATGTAAAACATGCTGTTTTCCACATAAGTCCTAAAACTAGATAAAGTATGTGAACCTCTAGGATTATCAGTTCATCTGAAGGGGAAATTAGAGTCAGGTGTTTCAATCAGTGGGATGATAATCAGATGTGAGTGTGATATGGGAGGTCCTGTCTTATAGAAAGAACAGAATTCTCTGTATTTGCTATCAAAGTCTGATCTTCACAACACAGGTAAGTAGAAGTGTGCCATTCTCGAATAAAGGAGATTTGAGGATCTCTGAAAAACAGCTGTTGATGCTCAGCAGGCTGCAAAAGGTTACAAAACTATTTCCAAAGAGCTTGGACTCCACCAGTCCACTGTCAGGCAGATCCTGTACAAATGAAGCCAATTCAACACCACTGTTACCCTCCCCAGGAATGCTCAACCAACCAAGATCACACCAAGAGCAAGACCTCTTTTGCACTGGTGAATGTCAGCGTTTGTGAGACCACCATCAGGAGAACACTGAACAACAATGGTGTGCATGGCAGGGTTGCAAGGAGAAAGCCACTACTCTCCAAAAAGAACATTGCTGCTTGTCTACCATTTGCAAAAGATCACATGGATAAGCCAGAAGGTTACTGGAAGAATGTTTTCTTCCTCTTCCTGCTTAACAACCCATGCAGTCCCAGGGTTATGACAGCAACCGGGACTGCCAGGATTGCTGTTGCTAAGTGATGCGGTCAAGTGATGTCGCACTTTACAACTGCATCACTTAATGATGGAAATTCCAGTCCCAATTGCCATTGTAACCCAAGGACTACCTGTTTATAGCTTTGGATAATTTTCCTCAATAAATCAATATATAATATTTTTTACTCATTTGTTTAATTAGGTTCTCTTTACCAAGTTTTAGGACTTGTGTGGAGAAAAGATCATGTTTTAGGTCATATTTATGCAGAAATACTAAACACTCAAAAGGGTTGACAAGTACCACTGTATAAAGAAAACAAGTATTTCTCTTTTTTTTTTACACCTTTTCTCTTAAAGGCATTTTCCATCTATAGCCTATTTCATCACTCTACCACACATCCTTTTTCATGCTTTCCATTAGCATAAGTCTTTACACTTCTATGGCTTTCTGTAACTACTCTTTTCTCTCTGTCCTAAGCAGCTTCCACATCTCCCCTCTCCTCCTGAAATCCTAAGGAGGACAGTACCAGTCAGCCTGGGCACTTTGTACTCAAGCACACCCAAAGGCAGTTTTACTCCCAGCATGTTTACACTGTTCTGCACAAGCCAGGATCTCCAGGGGTTCTGAGACTTTATTGCAAGCCCACATCCCTCTGAGGAGGTACATATACTTTCTGGCACCCATTCTGTAAAAGACTCTCTTGATTTCCTACAGGGCTCACAATGGAAGGAGAGCAAACGTGAGCAGGTTAGGATGCCAAGGGAAGAAAGGCCAACTTTCAGAGTTGGCATTCCAGAAAGTTCCACAACTCTACAGTGATAGCTAGGATGACTCAGGTCTGACTCTTCAGCAGCCCCAACCCTGTCTCTCCCAGTTGGAACAGAAGGAGATTAAAACACCACACTGACTAGCAAAAGCAGGCCGAACAACCTCCTGTAGTTTTTGCAATCCTGCCCTAGGCTGCTCTTGGTGAGTCACCCTTGGGGGAGTGGTAGCAGGAGCAACTGCCTTTTCCTTCAAGCTTCAGAGTACTCCACAGGAGCTTCAA